AGTTCCTCTCCACCTGCCCTTTCTCCTATCAAGCCATGCACGGTTGTCCTCTTTCACTCCCCTGTGTCTTTTCTCTCCAACCGGCACAAGCCGAGGGGTCCATGCTGGCCACTGGCTCAAGCTTTCTGCGGTGCTAGCCAAGACAGGACCATCAGGTGTTAGAGGTGGAAATACGGTGTCTCTGCCCTTACCAGCTCCAGCAGCTCCTGAACCACTGCATTCAGGTGCACACGATGGGCTGTATGATGAGGACATCTGGATTAGATCCACCTAAAACTCTGCTTCTAGACCATTCCTTCAGGGAGATGAGAGTCAATGGGAGTTTAGAGCTCTCGAGGTGTGAGCCTTGTTCTCCTGCTCCACCACTGATCTTCTAAATTCAGGTGAATCAAGAGCTGGTTGCAGTGGCAATGAGATGCTTACATAGCCTTGAGGATCTGAATCCTTTCCTGAACAGGCCTCGTTCTTGTTCACTGGAAACTGAAAACTCCTGTTGGACTGGAGGTGACTCTCCTCTATCTGTAGCTTTGCTTGGTGGAGCTTAGAAACAGCCACCTCTACTTCCTGAGCAGCCCAAATGCTCTTACTTGAAGTGTTAACAAGTATGTCAGGCAACACATTTTTGTTTCTGCCATTTTCCTGTCAAAAAGCACCTCTGACCTTTCTGGAGGAGCCTGGTTCCCTGGATCTCTGCTGTGGACACTGATATGCAGAAGGGAACTACTTGTGCTGCACTGCTGTCTCCCTGCTCAGGGAGTGCTAGTCTCCAGGGCTATCCATCCGTTAACCTTCATGAGCTCAAATATTTATTATTCATATTACCCCAAAATGTGTTAAAAAGATGAAAAAAGGAATTAATGTGCCAGATCTTGTATCCACCTTTTAGCTTATTACAGTGCTAAAGCAGTATTAACATTTACAGTATATGAGCTCTGCTTTGCTTGTGCCTGAGGCCAGGGGGTTTAATCCAGTGCTGAAGTTAATAGCAAGCGCTGGTTAGAAAAAGCCCATTATGTCATAAAGTTGGAATTTCACTTGGGCAGTAGCCATTGGCTTTCTTTCCAATCAAGATGCAATGCCATTCTCTCAATCCATTTCAGCTCTGTCGTCTGTTCCATCTCTCTCTCCTGCTCACATTCAAACAAAAACAGAATGGGAAAAAATCATGTTTTTCTCCTCAGCGCTGGTGAATCAAAGAGCATCACGTTTGCCAGAAGATAATTGCTTTAGTCACTGGCCAAGAAGCCTTGTCCCGTTCCGGAACGATGCAAGGAGGCACCATGTGGTTAAAGGTGTTTCTGGGCCCCGTTCCATGCGTCGTGTTGGAGATGCTGGCCTCCTGGACATCTCCTTTTTATAACTTGAACATATTGATTCATTCAACATCCATGTGTCGTGCTTAAGGTTGATAATATGAGCATCTTCTGTCGCCCATTAGGAACGATCTGCCTATAAAGGAATGTGAGGAGCCCTGCTGTGTGGCAGGGATGACCTGCTGACACGCACGCCTCTGCTCAGGAGCCTGCAGGATGAAACCTCTGCAAGTCTGCTCCTTCCTGGTCCTCTCAGGACTTGGAGAAGATAGCCTCTCTCCAAGCCATGGTGCCTTATCTGCTCTTCTCAAATCTTGCTAGCCCATCACTTGTGGGGTCYCTGGCAGTGCAGAACCAAGTTCACCACATGCATGATTGTTTCAGCCAGCTGTGCTCTACATTCTGCAGGTATAATTGCCTACAGGCTTTGTGTCTGTCCTGTTAAGAGCCTCATGTGTAGGAAAGATCTTCAGATCTCTTTCAGGATGGCCACATTATTTCTGTGGCCTGGGAATGGGACAATGGTGTATGCAGTGTGAGCCACGTTGTAGACTTAGCCCTCATGTGACTGCGGAACCTATCGCCTCTTTATCTTCTGAGGCACATCAGCTATGCTTGCTGCATCATGTGGCATAGAGAGGATCATATTTTATGGTGCTAATTATAAGGCAGATCTTCCTCCATCTGACAGATGCACCTCTACCATACGCCCATACCTTTTGTAACCCCGTGGAGCCCTGGGCTTTGCAACCAGCTCATGCCATTGAACGAGAGAGGGTACCTTGGCCAGTGCCATTGCTGCTGAATCTCCTTTGCTCTTGCAATGGCCAGGAGTTGCCATAGACAAATCATCCAAGCTTTAATTTAACAAAAATGGACAAAAGTCTCATGAGATTCAGCTTCATTTTTTTTCCCCTCCTGAAAACACCCCTTTATTTCACTAGAATGCTGAGCAAATATTCCAGGCAAGGAGTACCGTGATACACCTATACCATTTGGACAAGACTCTCAAGCCCAAAAGGCAAAGTATGTCAGGGCCATGACAACACTAATCAGTCTTAATTGCCCTGATGAACCTCACCTGGGACCTCTAACACTCTCCTCTGCTCATGGATCAAGAGGTCTATTTAAGCTCAGTTCTTGGGTTTTAGATGCTCTTTGAGCTTTGTTGTGCATGTATTTGACTCAGCCACCCCTGCCTAAGGATCTGGATCCTGRCCAGCAGCACCTGACCTCAGACCATCTCATCAGTATGGACCTGCCTGGGGATTACTGGTCTGTGTTTAAACCTGGTCTCCAGACCTGATCCTGACCTAGGCTCATTGACTTGCCTTTGTAATTTGACTTCAAACCTGGTGACCTTGGACTTGCCTGAGAACCTGGCCTCTCACCTGCCCCTGGGGAACTGGAGACTAGAGGTAAGTCGTTGATATGTCAGAGGACAGTGATTCCAATGCAGCCGTGAGAGAGCCAAAGGCTGCATAGGCTCTTCCTCAAGTCCCAGCCTCTCTCTACTTGAGGAACTGCAGATACTTTTTTGCTCTTTACCCTTCATAGGTGCATGTAACTGCAAAATGTGGTGCCAGTGCAACCCTGACCCCACTCACATGGAATGCAGGAACTTCATAGAGCCCTTGAAGCTGAAGGAACCATGTTCCAATACAAAGGGAGACATTAAGCCTCAGCTTTTGGGAGTGTTTCTTTTCTTTGGTCATTTTCTAGCAAAGGCACTGAGACTATCACAACAGAGCTGAACCTTATTTGAAATTCAGGGGGCACTATTAACCTGTTTCATTGGCAGAAAATAAATAAATTCCTTCTCTGAATAAGTCAGGAAAGATGTCTCTAGGCTCATTCAAGGTCACACCCATAAACATGCGATGGAGGCAGGAACCCAATCCAAGTTGGATCAAACCTCAACCCTATTTTTTCCACAGCGGGGGAAAAAGAAAATCCCCTCTCAGCTCCAAAATACCTGGCAAATGCCAGCCAGAGCCCAGGGAGGAATCAGTGCTGCATGGAGGTCTCTGCCCATATTCTCTCCAGGGTGTTGAGTGACTGAAAGGGCTTGAATGGGAATGTGTGGGAATGGCCTAAGGTCAGGCATGGAGAACGGCCACTCATTTCGTTTGACAGTGAGTATGAGTTTCTGGAGGAATCTGGAGTTGTAGCTGAGGGTGTCTGACATCTAGTGTGTTATCCGTGTGTGATTTCCAATGAGAATGCAGAATCCTGCTCCTGAGGATGTCTTGACATCCTTGGTATGAAGCAAATTTCAGTGGGACCAGAGGGTGGTTAGGTATCTGTATTAGAGGCAGCATTTCTCCTTGGCAGAGCTCTGTTTTTAGCAAAGCAGTCCAAGCTCAGGCCTTTTTGTGGCTGTGTCYCACTGCATGGATGCAGTTGCAACCCCCTTCCTTCTGCCTGCTTTGCAGTTGCAAAGGCAAAATTCCCCATCCTCATCCCCTTTGCTTAATCTATGGGAAAAGCAACGGAAGAGAATGCAGCAGAAAGCCATACCTGGTTGGCAAGAGCCCTTTCCTTACATGCCAAGGCTCAGACCCCAAGTCCAAGGCTGCTCAGCTATGTGTCTCAGTGGCGCTCCTCACCCTTTGACGAATCCTGGCATTTGCAAAGTTATTATACCTCATTATGAATTGGATTTTAATCTACTGTAAATAGTCCTACCATTATAGTGTCATAAGAAGCAATTAGCCCCCCTGCTTGCTTCTATGCATGAGGGGAAAGCTTTAATACTAGGGAACTGTGAGGGCTTGATGGGGCTTTAGCCTACATACATGTGAGCAGAGGCTTTGCTTGTGTGTTAACCTGTTCAGTGCATGGCCAGTCCATGCCTGCCCCAAAATATCCACTCGGTGTCCTAAGGAGGTCTCCAGGGTGAATGTCTCTTGAGCTGCTGGCTTGATTTCAGCCTGGGATATCTGTCTCTGGGTGCTTTTTGCAGCACACCCAGCGATCTTCCTCCAGAGGATGGATGTGGTTCAGGCAGATGATAAATTGTGGTTTCCTTGCATTGCCCTTAACCCAGTCACAAAAGGGATTACCATCTGCAGGGGTGAGAGGCGTCCGGAGTCCGGTCCCTGCCTTGCCTCAGGGTGATTATTTCCAATCTCGGCAAAGCTTTCCCGCTTTGCGGCGTGGAGGCTGGTGAAGGAAATTCATTATCTGGAGCTGGCACTCTTGCACGGCTTTGAGCGAGTCCTACCTTCTCTGTGCCTGTGTCACCTGGAGCCGGGCCGGGGGAGCTGGAGCAAGTCTGGGCACTCGGACGTCACGGCTGTCACCACTTGGGTAAGGCTGCATGATTAATAACAACCTCAGGTTAACGGGGCTTTAATGTTCCTCAAGCAGCAGGGACAGCAGGTGATATTCTCAGCTCTGAGCTGGCGTGGAGCAGAGCARAAGCTCTGGTCTTTGTTTGAGGGAGGAATCGCAGTGTATCTTTGTGCTTGATGCTGTATRTTTGCTCATGGACAACCAGGGTGTGCGTTCCTTGAACAACATGGGTAGGGCTGGGTGCTCTAGGGTTAGGAATCACACTCCAGCCCCCAGGAGCAGTGGTCATGGCATGCTGCAGGGTGGATGTGGCATTAGATATTGCCCATAGACCCTGTGTAGCTGGTGATCTTTTGAGCACCCCTGAGCTGCTGGTGGCATTGCACAGAGAGGCATGGGTGAGCCTCCATGAGGCCTCATGGAGRCTGCTCAGCCCAAGGAGCAGCAATATTGCACGTGCATCAGCAGGGAGGGAATCCCTACAGTACGGATTTAGRTGGGGAAAAAAAAGTCTTTCCTTTTTTGGATCCTGTTTGCAGGAGGTGGAGAAGAGATGGCAGTTCCTGCATGGYCCAGGTCTGCAGCTGGTGGCTAGAAAACTGTTGTTTCTACAGCAAAAAAAAAAAGAGGTCCAACTGGCCCATGGTTGGGTGGCTGCAATGCTGGACAAAAGGGCTTGTTGCCCTTGTTCCTGGAGTGATGCATCCTTCCTCCTCCTCCTGTCCACCGACAGCTTGTGGTCCCTGCTTGCAGAAACTGRCTTACAGGGGATGGGTCCAGAAAAMCACTCCCATGCTCCCAATTCTTTCTTTGCCACATGAAAGAGAAGCTGGCTGCCTGTTAATTACATGAGCCTTCTCATGGGCAATTGAGCTGGCTGTGTGCATGTGCATTCATGCTGCTGCTGAGTTCTTGTCTGATTCATGCTCACAGGTGACTGAAATGAAGCCAAGTTTTGCAACAAAGCCCTGCACTGCTGGCTGTGTCCACCTGCATCCAGGCTTTTCTCCACACAGTCGTGCAGCATCTCCTCTCTCCAGGACAGTAGCAAAGGACTCCTCTGTCCCAAATTCAGAGTTTGGGTCSTGCAACAATTACTCCCCATAGACAAGGTGTGACAGATTCCCAAAGGACAGTGCATCTCTCAAGTCTCTGTTATGTCCCATCCCTACGCTTTCATAGGGAAGGTCCTTCAGACTTGTACAGGGCAGCAACATCCTCCTTCCCTGGTACATGAGCCTACGGATGCACCCCCTACACCTTGCCACAGGTGGTGGAGATGGAGTTTTGGGAGGCAACAGGCTATAACGCTTAGAGTGGCTGGAGAAGGACATGCGCTTGCTGTGAGGACCAGCTCTGTTCCTCTGTGTGTGCAGCTAACGTCCTGGGTCTGCASGTGGAATCAGAGGGGTGGCCTATCCTGATGAGGGACCGTCCTCTGGTAGGTGCTCACTCTTTGGTTGCCTGTGGCAATGCCAGCCTGTGACTTGGGGCCAAGACCACTTGCTGTGCTGTGCACAGAGGTGGTGTTGGGGGCGCAGGGTGATGTCCGTGCCTGGCTTTGCATGGCTGAAACTGGTGCGGATCTGGGTCAGTCCCCAGGGAGCCCTTCTGTCTCTGTGGCTGCAACCCTGAGTGTTGTCCCGTAGTGCCCACATAGCAGGACTTGTATGTGTAGAACATATCTGAATGCTGGCCACCTTCCTCCCCATGATCTGGCACAGTTTCGGGCCATGCCAGTTAGTGTTCTCCCCCTCAGGGCCATGAGCACAGCCCAAGCCCATGATGAGCTTGCTGCCAGGTGCTGGAAGACCATCACATGTTCCCAGGATGTATGAGGAGAAGCATAATAGCCAACTATGGCTCTGCAGCTCCTTTTCCTTCCACTATGTTGACTTTAAATGCTTCGACGCTTCATTTTTAGGCCAACTGCAAGGTGTGGATGTGCTAAGCAGGGCTGCTGTGATGCTTGGGAAGAGGCAAGGATGGCTGTGGTGTCACTGGGACCAGCTGGGAGACAAACTTGGTTGGGAAGAGCCATGTTCAGTGCTCATCGGTGCACTCCACCTGGAACACTTTGCTATTCACTGGGACATCTGAATATTTTAATCCTTGGGAGTGATGGAAAATGACTTACCTCCTCTTTCCCCACCATCCTCCCCTGTTAATCTATGGAAAGCAGGGCCAAACTACTGCAGGATTCTGTGGGTGAGATAAATTGAAGAAGAAGCTTAAAGTCAGATGAACATTTCCCACCTTGTGCTTGGAGGGGTCTRGGGAAGAAAAGGAGGGGGCTGAGAAAATCAGCTTGTAATTATAGAGTAAGAGGCAGTGATAAAATGATAATGGAAGACTTCTGACCCGGCCTAACCAGTTTTGCGAAGCTGTGAAATAAATTTAGCAAAAGAGCGAGGGCACGGGGGCTCCCAGGCTGGGTTACAGCTGAAATGCTGGTTTCACAAACAAAGCATAAATTAGATTGCAAACATCTAATTAACCTCTTTGCTTATTTTTGTCGAGAAAGATGACAGATTCCAGCCAAAGTGGATGCCGTGGCTCAGTCTCCCCTTATAAGAGAGGATCTGGAGGGGAAGGAAGGAAGGAGAAAATGATTTGGTACTTGGTGCCTGCTGGTGCTCTCCTTCCTTTCTGAAAACTGGAGAGTTGTTTTCTGTTCTCTTTTTTTGTTGTTGTTTTTAACTCTTTTTGTGCCTCTGTCCCAATGGGAAGCCGTGTGTGATGCCCGTCCTTGCTGCTGGAGGAGGAAGGTGTCAGTGGTGGTTTCCCTCCAGGATCCTTTGTTCTTCATCTCGCTCTGCATCTTCATCTCCCTTCCATGAGGTTGGGGACCTTCTCTCTGGCCTCCTGTGCCCTTGTGTGGCCAGGCTGGCTCCTCTTGGCTGCTGCCTTGCCCCCAACCAGTCTCATTTACAGAACTGACCCTCTCTCCTTGGAGAGAAGAGCAAGAGCAGGGAAATGAACCTATTTTTCGCTGTCTGGGCTACAAGGTTTTCTGTTTATCTTGCTCGAGGGCAACCGTTCCACATGGCTTTCTGAAATGGCATAGCTCTGCGACCGCCCCCCTGCTCCCCCCATCCTACCATTGCCTCCTGTCCCCTCTCACCCCAACCTCTTCTTTTTCACCCCACCTTCCCCCAGGGGCATCCAGCCAGTGCAAACGGTCCCTTGGCAGCAATGATGAAGATGGATGTCTGATTGATTCTCTCTCCTCTGTGCAACCCCCACTCAAGCCCCCCTTTCCCTCTTCTCCCCCTCCGCTTTCCATGCCCTTCTGGCAGAAAATTAAAAGGCTATTTGTTAAAGGGTGAAAGCCCTCAGGTGCAGCCCCCGGCTGGACAATTTGTCTCCATGAAAAGGATGCTATTATGAGAGCGGCTGGATCCAGGAGGAGGGGGAAGAGTTTGCCAGGAGAGCTGGGGAGGGGGGAAGGAAGCGCCTCGGAGGGACAATGAGGTTGGGCCGGGGGAGCTGGCGCCTGCTCGGCTCGCCGGCTCCGCGGGCTGGGTGGCCGATCCGCGGGGAGCAAGCGCCATGTGCGGCAGGGCACGGAGCCGATCCCCCCGTTGGGAGGCCCCGGGCAGGGCAGAGGTGCCAGCCAGCTGGATCCTCCCTGGCAGTGGCTCCGAGGTGGCGCAGGGCAGCGCGRAGCGTGGCACAGCCCCCTGCCCTGCTCCTGGGGGTTTTGCTAGCCGGGCTCTTGGCGCTCTGCTCGGCCTCGGGAAGGGAGAGCTGAGCCGCGTTTGCTGGGGCACCAACTCTGCTGTGTTCAGCACACGCTCTTCATCCTCTCTTCTGCCCCAGAGAGGAAGAGGAGGAGGAAGTAATGTATTTAAGCATCTCTTTCTGTCCATATAATCTATCAGCAAACTGTCTGCTGACACATTGCGCTGTATTCTTCTCTGCCACCCATCTGTCCTTTCACTCATCCATCCCAGAGTATATCTATTTGCAATTTCCTCCGCCTATCTCTTCATCCTYGTACCTATTTATTTGACTGTCTGTCTGTCACCCAGCACCCATTTGTCCATCTATTCCCGGGGGCGCTTGTCTCTCTGTTGGTTTTAGGGTTTAATAGGAGTRCTGTTTGTGTGGCGTGGTTTCTGAGCATCTGCTGTAGGGAATCAGACAAGGTAGATTCCCCGAGGAGTTCAGGGAATCTCCAGCTGTTCCTGTTGCTGAACTATAGCTCTACAAGAATTAGACTTGGTCAATGAAGAGCCACTGCTGTGAGGAAAGACCCTGTACGTAGAATATGACAGGCACCACTTCTGAGGTTGGCTCCAAAGTGGAAGCAGGACCTCTGGGAGAGACTAGGAACTGCTCCYCACGGGGCAGAGCTGGGGCCTTTGGTTCACTTCTGATCCTTCTCAGCAACTAAAGGGTCCATGCAGCTCACTGAGGTGAAAACCGGTGTGGATTATTGCACATTTCTGGGATGTGAGAATAGGAAAGGGATGGGATGGAAGTGAAGAAGGGAGATTCATCAAGACTCCTAGGAAGACACCATATATCGTTCTGGCAACCTACCTGCATCTCCTAAATTGGTGAAGTTGGATTATGTTAAATGGTGGTTCACACTCTGACCTGCTTGGCCTTGAAGTGGCCAAGGTAGTGGAAAATCCAAATGTTGTGCGCCAGGGCATTTCCGAGAGGAATACCAGTACTATGATGGTGCATGTCTGTGTGACTCGGCATTGGGATATTAACTTTTTTAGAAGCTACTAAATTATTTGCATTATTCTAAACAGAGCTGAACCTGACTTGCAGGTTCCTGTTTTTAAAAATGAGATTTTTTTTTTGTCTCAACTCTGGATGAAAAATCATTGCAATTTTTCACAGGGGAAGGGAATGTTCCTGACAGGCAGAGCTGTCTCAGCCCAGTGAGCAGAGTCAGGGGTTGTTCTGGTTTGCACTGAGTTTCTCTTTCGGCCCCTAGAGCCTCTGGAGCGTGGTGAGGCTGCATTCATGATCCTGGGTATACACACACACACTAGCATTAATACATTCCCAAGGGAAATGTCGRGCTTGAAGACTGGAAGTCAGCTTGTTTCCTTTCAAAGCAGGGACTTTGCTCTCCAGGATGAGAGTCTCATCCTAGCTGGCCCAGGCTTCGGCTTCAGCGTGAGTGATGGGGAGACATTTCCCATGTCAGGCAAGAGGGGAAGAAATGAAGCAGTGAAGACGCTGAGGACCGGCTCCGCATCCCTGCACGCAGCTTTTCACGGAGGAGATGCTCGGAGCGGGGMCTCAGCCCTGCCGTGCTACCGATTTTGTGCAGGGTGAAGGCAATCCTAGCCTGCGAGCGACAGCGCATCCAGAGGGGAGCAATGCGTGCTCATGTGCTGACTTATATCTGCAGGAGTKTACAAATCAGCATAGTTGATTAGCTGTATTTCCCCACTTCACAAGCACAAAAATATCGCGGGCAGAAATGCTGCCTTCCTCCTGTGGGCATTTCTGTTCTGAGACCACGGCTGCATGCTCGGGCTCCCAGCAGCTCTTTGTGAAGCCTGGCGAAAATAGATTACGGGGTAAGATTTAATGATTCAGCATTTCTGTTGCCGCTGATTTACTGACTGATGCTCAGCTTTCTATCAGCTGAAGAGCTACTTGGCCACCAGGAGCTGCAGGCAGCTGCAAAGGGAATTAAATAATAATGTCTTTTGGATGTAAAAATGCATGGATCAAATGCAGCAGCACAACCACCCAGGCAGTGAAGTAAAGGTCAGGATAGTAGCTAAAATATAAGGATGGAGACTCCACTTACTTTTACAGCTTGCCAACACTAACACGGACTTAACCCATGTATGTGTCAATGTCTTTGTGCATTTATTTTAAATTCCTCTATGCCAGGATKGCCTGCGATTTGATTTAGGGATACAAAGTGATGCTTTGTTAATCCTATGCAGAGTTGGAGTCCCTCCGTGCCATCTGAGACCCCTGATGGCCATGATACGAGGACAGCAGAGCTGAGTCTCTGGCACCCCGGCCCTTCTTGGGATGTCACAGGTTTGTCTGGGACAATGTCCACATCACATCCCCACCAAAATCATAGTGCCCTAGGCTTTGCTGTCCTTGGTTTTTCCCTTTCTCCTTCATATGATTTGACCCCTAAATTCATGCTGAATTCCCAAGGCACTGGATTGCCCAGGACACTAAAACTGGACATTTAATGCAACACTTTCCATGTTAGGTTAGGCACCTTTGCTGCCTGAAATTGAAGGAACAGCCACCTCTGAGCCCAAAGATACAGGTTTTTCCCCTCAAGGTCACAGTGTTGTTGGGAGGAATGTGTCTCTCGTGAAGCCGTCTCATCCCTATATGCATTTTGGGTACTGGATTGAACTTTATTCCATCTCTCCCCACAAACCCTCRATCCTCTCTTGGCTCTGATGCATTCCTGCCCTGCTATCCTATTGATGCTCTCTCCTCTGTTGCACTGCTACAGATCTGAGGAGGGGAGTTTGCATGGAGCCTAAAGGTRCTCCTTGCACCATCCTTTTTGGCCCCAAAAGGATGTCCACAGGAATCAAAYCCCAACGGCTTGGCAGCTCCCACAGCCACGATGTCCGGGTGAGGATGAGGATGAGCAAGTCCCTCTGCCACAAAAGAGGAGCCCTGAGCTGTGGAAACAGAATCGTTCCAGCGAGAGCCACGCTCTGCGCTGACAGTCCCCGCTTGCAGGTGACGAGATTGATAGCCCTGTGGAGAAAAACAGGTCGGGCGATAGATAATTTCAAAGCAGCAGTAAACGTTGCYGGGGACTCGTTGCTTCTCTAACCGATGAGACATGGAGGCGGAGGGAAGCTGCTGTGGTGACACGACTGTCGAGAGGGGAAATTTTGCAATGAGATAATTTTGAGTCATCTGAGAATATGCAAGTGGCTGGAAAGATGGGTGAGCGCTGGGGTGCTGCAGCACCCAGTGTGCAGAGCATGGCTAGCCCGAGGTGCAGAGTGCCCCTGGTTTGGCTCTGCCGTAAGCGAAGCCTAGGGATGGGGGAAAAAAAGGAGGAAAAAGTGGCCCAAGTCCAACACTGTCAGTTCTCCTGAGACAACCCAGAGCTGCTCCGTGATGGTGCCTGAAAACCACGAGGAACGTGAAGCGGAAACCAATGAACCACAGTGAGCACACTGGAAAAGAGGCCTAATTGAGGGACAAAAAGAGGAGCAGATGGGCAACCCTGCCCACCAGCCTTTCTGGGGTCTAATCTGGCACCAAAGGCGGGAGCCCAGCCCTCGGGGGTCAGTGAGCATTACCGGGCGCTGCGTTGTCCCGACGTCGGGCCGGCTGTGAACCCTCTGCATGGCAGAGGTCCGAGCAGCGAGGCAGCCCCATAGCCCCCCATATCTGCTGTCCTGAGCCCCTTTTCCRAGAGCACAGCGACTCCTGTTCTCTATAGGATTAACAGGTGTGAGCTCCCGAAGCTGAGGACGTGTTCCCCTTTGCTGGGCTTTCTCCCACCCCTTTGGCCCTGGTATTCTCACGGAAAGCTGATGTAGACTCTAGGAGCACCAGTTCCAGCAACGTTCCCCCTGTTGCTCCAACCCCGTTAAAAGGACTCTCCAGCATTTTCCTTATTGTGATTTTTGGCTAATGAAGAGAAAGGAAAGCAATAAGGCTGGCAAGAAGACGAGCTGGTTGTAATTTTATTTTTTTAAATTGTTTTTAGTCCAGGCCTATGCAGCAACCGGGTCATCACTCTGTTTTGGCACAGCTCTTGTGCCAAACGTAACATGGCACATTTGGGTGATGATGGCTTAGGGCTTTAGGGTCTGGGCCAAATTTGGAGGTGAGGCCCTTTTGGACTCTTGAAAGACGGGAACCTATGCTGGGATTCATGTCTCAGGGAATCTTCATTTACTCGGCCTCATTTCATGGAGGAAGAGTGGAGGAGTCGCCTATGGCAGCATCAGCTGTGCCTGAGATCTCTCCCTGGCACCGTACCTGGGCTGCAACCAGCCTGTCCTCATCAGCGGAGACTCCTCTTGAGCCAGGCGGTGATTCCCCCTCCTCTTCCCCACCACGGCCATTGGGAAGCTTAATGAATTAATGCTGATTAAGTGCTCTCAGGTAATCAGATAAAGGTGTCATAAAAGTGCTTTACAATGATGATGATGTGTTTTATGGTGAGGAGAAACTGATGATCCTAAATAAAAGCCCAAATTAAACCAGGGGGAAGTACAAAGGTGCCTTGAAATCCGGGGTGAACTTCAAATTAAGGACAAAAAGCCATTCAAGCATATGCAAAGTTCTCATCTCTCCTCCAGCAACGCCTCGTTTTGACCTCCCCCCTCCTCTCCAAGAGCCTTTCTGTGAGAGACCAAGATTAATTACCTCCTGAGCAGCCCTGTGGGCTTCCCCCATCTGATAACGTGTGAATAAGGCTGACAGGACCTGCTAAGGGGCTCGCAGCTTTCTCTGCTCCCTCTCCTGCCTTGTGTGGAGCTCCAGGGGTTTGTCCGCCTGGTTGTCAAACCTCAGTGCCTCCTCACTGGTCCCCAGCATCCCACTTGGACCAGAGATCCTGCTTGTCGCTGGATCAACCAGCTCCGGATCAACTTTTGCCATCTGTAATGAGGGGAAAGCTATAGGTTTGGTCCTCTGGTCTGGTCTCTGGGCAGGGTTAAGGGATCAGTCCCAATTCCAAACCTCCTTGCATCAGCTACACTGGATCCTAGTCCATGGGCAAGCAGAACTGCTGACCAGAAGATCCTCCTCTTAAGTAAGGTCCTAAATAAAAGAGGCAGCAGCTTTTCCTCCCTTTTCAAAGCAGATACTCTCCAAGGTGCCAGAAAAATCAAAGTTGAGAGATGCGTGTCCAGCTCTGCAGCAATTAGRAGGGGGCACCGGAGCTAATGTGGTCAGCTGAAAGTCCATGTCCCCAGGTTGTGTGCTGGATATTGGCTGGTATTCTAGCGGCTGCTGCCAACTGGCGACATCTGTCCATCCTTACAATGGCCTTTCCCCTCCTTGCTCTTTTCTAGCTGCTTCTCTTGGYGAGTGCAGAACTGAGCGTGAGCTGTGAAGGCCACCACTTCTTAGCTCATTCTCAGACTTAAATCTTGAAGAAAGTTGGTGGGAATCTGGTGAAGTCAAGTGACTTGAGGAGTGATGAGCTCCCTCTGGGTCTGGCCAGGCTTCCTGAGGTCTCTTCCAGCTCTAGTGCAGTATCTGACAGGGAGAATTCCCAGGATCTGGCCCATTTCATGTAGTTTATTGGGGAGAGGATTTTTATTTATTTTTTTACTTGAGTGACTAAACCATTTTTCTACCCACCTCAACAAGGATTTTTCTCTGTTCCTGTTTAGCCAATCGAAATGTTTGGGTAAAAAATATCCAATCTTATTCTAGTTTTTATGTATTTTTCCCTCTTCTTAAAGCAAACAGAATATCTAAAGTCATTTCGCTTCACAGCTAAAAATGTCAAGATAAAATGGTCCAACTTTTCTGGCGTGGTATCTTTGCTAGAAACATATTTACTTGACAAGAATTTTTAGATAAGAGATGAATTCTTCATTACTTTAAAACAAACAAACAAACCATATTTTGAAGAATGAAGGATTTGTCTAAAAATCTTTCAGGTTCTTTGCTTGGAGTCCACCGTATCTTCAACCCATAGAATGGGAAGACCTCCTGGAGGGACTAGTTTCCATCCTGCAAGCACGATGTTATAAAGGAGAAAATGGCCAGAGGAGAAGCTGAAGGCATCAGCCTGGTTTGCCTCAGAGAACTAGAAAGGTAGGTGATACGTATAGGTCCCATCCAATCTTTCTCTGAGTTGATGACAATGTGGTCTCCCTAAGCAGTAAATGAATCTCCATCCAATTGAACCCAAGYTCCCACTGCGAGATCTTCCTGGAAAGTTTCTGGCTGGTCAGGGGTGGGTTTCCTTGGTCAAAGCCTGGGAGTGTGATGGAGCGTGTCCTTCCTGTGCCAAGAGTCATTCCTGAGAYGTCTCAGATTGGTGGAAGTAACAGAGAGGGACATCAGGCTTGAGACAAGGTGAAGGCAACTAGATGATGAAGCAGCTGCTCAGCATCTCACTGTGAGCGTCAGCCCCTGAACTTGYTGCACACTTGTACCGATCTGTTAAAGAATTATCTTAGCTTCTGTGCTAATGCAGATTCACCTCGAGCTAGACCTGAGCTGGGATTTGAGAAGCATCTGTGATGCTCTCCCCGGAATAGCAATGCAGGAGGCAGGAGATATGCACCGTCTCTTTGCTGCCGTCATTGACAGAAGGCAAAAAGTTTAGCAGGGAGGAGCAGAGCTGGGAATTCATCTGCTTCAAAACTGTTGTGGTGCTCTGGGATGCTGGAAGGAGCATGGCCAAAGGATAGAGACCCCTATTCCCCCTGGCTCCAGCTGCTGTGTCCTTCAAAGGTCCCTGGCCCTTCGGCAGGGAGGTCAGTGCTGCTCAGTGCAGAGGTGAGTGACGGCTGCCCATGCACCACCACACGCTGGAGCTGGCATCTCATTGCGTTGTGTCTTCCTTCAAGAGCTCCCTGCTGCCAGCAGCGCTGCATCCTGGAGGGGATGAAGGAGAGAAGGGAGAGGGAGTCACGGAGAGGCAGCAAAAGAGACGCTGCAGGAGAGAGGGAGTTATTAGAGCTTCTTATGGAGGTCTTATTCCTCTTTAGTCCTTGGAAAGTCCCCCTAGCCCTGCACCAGCCTTGCCATGTCACTGGAGGATGGAGATGAGTGAGCTGGGGCTTGGTCCCCTGCGAGACTGGCCTGTTGGACAGTCACAGAAAAGGTCGGTTTCTGTTCGTATCTCTGGAGATGGAGGGACTTGGAGCAGAGCTGTCTGTTGGACACAGGAGGATGAGGTCTGCTTTGGGGAAAAAGAGGTCTTCTCCAAGGACCATTGGCTAGTGTGCTCTGGAGTAGGGAGAGGGCGGCCCTGGCTGCAGTCCCTGGACAAGTTCTTGCCTCTATCCCTGCGGTTTGAGCATTCCGCAAGGAGCCGGCGGAGCGGCGGCTGCTCGCAGGTCCCCGCGCGCGCCCGGCGCCGTCTGGGCGAGCTCCTCGGGGTCATGTTTGTTGTGTTTCCCCACAGCCCCTCCAGAAAAACATCCTGCAAACACAGAGCTTGCCCTTCTGCCGGGACACAAATGCAGCCCAAACAGAGCTCGCTTCAAAGGGGCCCTTAATGAGCAGCTCTCCCCCTCGTCTGCCCGGCCCTAACGATGCTGCTGCCCTGCTACAAAAGCTCCACTTTGGGAGCCTGCTCAGCAGGAGCAGAGGAGATGGAGAGGGTCAGGAGCAGCACTGGGATCACAGGGAAGAGTGGCCGTGGCCCAAGGCGGGTGGCAGGGCCGGCACCTCATCTGCGTGTCCCTGGGCACGTAGTCCTTTCGTCTCCTGTGATGTCTCGAGGAGACAAACGCGACGGCCACGAGCTGTGGCTGCAAACACAGGTCTGGGCCCCCAGCGTGAATCTGCGTCCTCGGGGTTTCATCCTGGGTGAGAACGCCAGCAGCAAGTGTAGGAATCG